CCTCCATTATATAATATTATCCAACTTCAGCTTTTGTAACGATCAAAACTCCATATATGTATAAGTAAACGATATTCCATCCATTCTATGATATTTTTCCAACTTCAGCTTCCGTAACGATCAAAACTCCATATATGTATAAGTAAACGATATTCCATCCATTATATGAAATTTTTTCATCTTCAGCTTCCATAGCGATCAAAACTCTATATATGTATAAGTAAACGATATTCCATCCATTCTATGAAATTTTTCTATCTTCAGCTTCCGTAACGATCAAAACTCCATATATGTATAAGTAAACGATATTCCATCCATCCAATGAAATTTTTCCAACTTCAGCTTCCATTGCGATCAAACCTCCATATATGTATAAATAAACGATATTCCATCCATTCCATGAAATTTTTCCAACTTCAGCTTTTGTAACGATCAAAACTTCAAATATGTATGAGTAAACGATATTCTATCCTTTCCATGAAATTTTTCCAACTTCAGCTTTTGTAACGATCAGAACTTCAAATATGTATAACTAAACGATATTCCATCCCTTATATGAAATTTTTCCAACTTCATCTTTTGTAACGATCAAAACTCCATATATGTATAAGTTAACGATATTCCATCCATGCAATGAAATTTTTCCAACTTAATCTTTTGTAACGATCAAAAATCCATATATGTATAAGTAAATGATATTCCATCCATTCTATGAAATTTTTCCAACTTCAGCTATTGTAACGATCCAAACTCCATATATGTATAAGTAAACGATATTCCATCCATTCCATGAAATTTTTTCAACTTCAGCTTTTGTAACGATCAAAATTCCACATATGTATAAGTAAACGATATTCCATCCATTCTATAATATTTTTCCAACTTCAGCTATTGTAACGATCCAAACTCCATATATGTATAAGTAAACGATATTCCATCCATTCCATGAAATTTTTTCAACTTCAGCTTTTGTAACGATCAAAATTCCACATATGTATAAGTAAACGATATTCCATCCATTCTATAATATTTTTCCAACTTCAGCTATTGTAACGATCCAAACTCCATATATGTATAAGTTAACGATATTCCATCCATTCCATGAAATTTATCCAACTTCAGCTTTTGTAACGATCAGAACTTCAAATATGTATAAGTAAAAGATATTCCATCCATTCCATGAAATTTTTCCAACTTCATCTTTTGTAACGATCAAAACTCCATATATGTATAAGTTAACGATATTCCATCCATCCAATGAAATTTTTCCAACTTCAGCTTTTGTAACGATCAAAATTCCCCATATGTATAAGTAAACGATATTCCATCCATTCTATAATATTTTTCCAACTTCAGCTTGCTTTACGATTCAAACTCCAAATATGTATAAGTAAACGATATTCCCTCCATTATATGAAATTTATCCAACTTCAGCTTTTGTAACGATCAAAACTCCATATATGTATAAGTAAACGATATTCCATCCATTCCATGAAATTTATCCAACTTCAGCTTTTGTAACGACCAAAACTCCATATATGTATAAGTTAACGATATTCCATCCATTCCATGCAATTTTTCCAACTTCAGCTTTTGTAACGATCAAAACTCCACATATGTATAAATAAACGATATTCCATCCATTCCATGAAATGTTTTCAACTTCAGCTTTTGTAACGACCAAAACTCCATATATGTATAAGTTAACGATATTCCATCCATCCAATGAAATTTTTGCAACTTCAGCTTTTGTAACGATCAAAACTCCACATATGTATAAATAAACGATATTCCATCCATTCCATGCAATTTTTCCAACTTCAGCTTTTGTAACGATCAAAACTCCATATATGTATTAGTTGACGATATTCCATCCATCCAATGAAATTTTTCCAACTTCAGCTTTTGTAACGATCAAAACTCCACATATGTATAAGTAAACGATATTCGTCCATTCCATGAAATTTTTTCAACTTCAGCTTTTGTAACGATCAAAACTCCAGATATGTATAAGTAAACGATATTCCATCCATTCCATGAATTTTTTCCATCTTCAGCTTCCTTAGTGATCAAAACTCTATGTTTGTATAAGTAAACGATATTTCATCCATTTTATAAACTATTTTCTTCTTCAGCTTCCGTAACGATCAAAACTTCATATATCTATAAGTAAACGATGCATTTTTCACTTTTATAAATTTTTCCAATTTCGGTTCGATTCCCGATCCGAATCTTACTCAATCTACTGTTCAAGTTTTTCCATCGATGAATTAATTTCATTTCTTCTATTGTATTTTAGATTTTTTATGAAGATAGGTTTCTCTTCAAGTTATTTTTAACACCTACCAATACCATCCATAGTCGTTGTATATTTTGTCTTCTTTTGTTGTTCCTGGCATTTAATTCTCTGCAATGCCTTTCCCCGGCTGATTGGCCTCCATCTCTTGAAAAATCTTTCTGCATCTGGCAAACTGTTCAATGACACTGGCTTTTATATACATATTTTTGATTGTGACGTAAGATTCATTGCCGATCATGTTATGAAACCTCTTAAGAGGCTGATATCTTGAGTAAACTAACTTGTATTAAATTCTTGGAAAACCTTTATGATCTTCACTCTTTTTATAAATAAGTATTCCATACCAATACTATGGACTCTTTAAATTTCAGCTTGCTTTACGCTTCAAACTCCACATATGTAAAAGTAAACGATATTCCATCCATTCCATGAAATTTTTTATCAACTTCAACTTTTGTAACGATCAAAACTTCAAATATGTATAAGTAAACGATATTCCATCCATTCCATTAAATTTTTCCAACTTCAGCTTTTGTAACGATCAAAGCTCCATATATCTATAAGTAAACGATATTCCCTCTCATTGTATGAAATTTTGCCAACTTCAGCTTTTGTAACGATCAAAACTCCATATATTTAAAAGTAAACGTTATTCCATCCATTTCATGCAATTTTTCCAACTTCAGCTTTTGTAACGATCAAAACTCCATATATATATTAGTTAACGATATCCCATCCATCCAATGAAATTTTTCCAACTTCAGCTTTTGTAACGATCAAAATTCCACATATGTATAAGTAAACGATATTCCCTCTCATTGTATGAAATTTTTCCAACTTCAGCTTCCTTTACGATTCAAACTCCAAATATGTATGAGTAAACGATATTCCCTCCATTATATGAAATTTATCCAACTTCAGCTTTTGTAACGATTAAAACTCCATATATGTATAAGTTAACGATATTCCATCCATCCAATGAAATTTATCCAACTTCAGCTTTTGTAACGATCAGAACTTCAAATATGTATAAGTAAACGATATTCCATCCATTATATGAAATTTTTCCAACTTCATCTCTTGTAACCATCAAAACTCCATATATGTATAAGTTAACGGTATTCCATCCATCCAATGAAAGTTTTCCAACTTCAGCTTTTGTAACGATCAAAACTCCAGATATGTATAAGTAAACGATATTCCATCCAACCAATGAAAGTTTTCCAACTACAGCTTTTGTAACCATCAAAACTCCATATATGTATAAGTTAACGATATTCCATCCATTCCATTAAATTTTTCCAAATTTCAGCTTTTGTAACGATCAAAGCTCCATATATCTTTAAGTAAACGATATTCCCTCTCATTGTATGAAATTTTGCCAACTTCAGCTTTTGTAACGATCAAAACTCCACATATGTATAAGTAAACGATATTCCATCCATTCTATGAAATTTTTTCAACTTCAGCTTTTGTAACGATCAAAACTCCAGATATGTATAAGTAAACGATATTCCATCCATTCCATGAATTTTTTCCATCTTCAGCTTCCTTAGTGATCAAAACTCTATGTTTGTATAAGTAAACGATATTTCATCCATTTTATAAACTATTTCCATCTTCAGCTTCCGTAACAATCAAAACTTCATATATCTATAAGTAAACGATGCTTCTTTCACTTTTATAAATTTTTCCAATTTCGGTTCGATTCCCGATCCGAATCTTACTCAATGTACTGTTCAAGTTTTTCCATCGATGAATTAATTTCATTTCTTCTATTGTATTTTAGATTTCTTATGAAGATAGGTTTCTCTTCAATTAATTTTTAACACCTACCAATACCATCCATAGTCGTTGTATACTTTTTCTTCTTTTGTTGTTCCTGGCATTTTATTCTCTGCAATGCCTTTCCCCGGCTGATTGGCCTCCATCTCTTGAAGAATCTTTCTGCGTCTGGCAAACTGTTCAATGATACTGGCTTTTATATGCATATTTTTTATTGTGACGTAAGATTGATTAATGATTACTTTATGCTGCATATATGCTGCTATGTTATGAAATTTTTATTTTGCTGTTATCGTGAATCCGCCTATTCAAATTTAATTTTTTTACTTGAATATATCTTTAGAGCTATATAGACTTCAAACTTTGACAAATAGTCTGCCCCAGTAACTCTATTGAAATCGATTCAGTTTGCAATTTTTTTTAGTTCTAATATAGCTTTTTCTTTTATGTTGTTTTTTTCTCTTATTACTTTGCTCTACCACTTGCAAAAACAATGTGTCCATCTTAGCCTTTTTCTCTCTCTAAGATTTGGATAGAAATTTTTTTTCGTTTATAAGCATCAACTTGAGATATTTTAACCCCATCTTTTAATTGTTACCCTGCGATTTGTCTTCCTCTCCCCCCCCCCCCCAAAAAAAATCTAAATTTTCCGATAGAGCTTTTTTTTGTCTCATTAAAATTTCGACATTAGGCTGCTATTTCAAATAGGGGCGGTGATAATCAGTTGGTAAGCTTCATTAAAAAAAGTGAATCATTTTTTCCCATTATTTTTCAAACCAAGAAGTATTTTTTTGTCATCGTTCCTTGTCACCTTAACTTCAGTTGTAGATAGGGTGAAATGTGAAACGATGGTCTTTCAAGATGATCACGAAAACATTGTTTATGTGAATTAATGACTCGTTTTTCTTCTTTTCAGATCACCTGGTCGGCTGACAGTAGACTCGTATGCAGTGGCAGTGCAGACAGCACATTGAAGGTACACAACCCCATTATGATTTCTGTTTCCAACATTTTCTTATCGTTTTGTAATCTCTTCGCCTTTCTTACAAATAACCGTGCTTGTTTCAGAATGTAAAACTGCCTTATAATCAAGGAAGGATAATTATGTAATAAGCAGCGTATTATGTAATCCGGATTGTGATGAAATATAAACCAAAGTGTAATAAACTCGCGAAACGTTGTATGGATAGCTTCGAGAAGTAGTTAATCTTAAGTTTTAGGCAACAGGTGTGAACTAGAAGAAAAACATCAATTATAATCACACTTTCACTATCATCATCAGAATCAACCACTCAAACAGTATTTTAGCGAAAGAGCAATTATTCAAAAGTCAGCCTTTAGGGGGAGGCGCTTATTCGGGGGGGGGGTCTGGTCTCCTCTTCAAGGGGCTCATTTGAAGTTGTTTTCGCACAGACACAATCTTTACCAATATTTCTATGAAATAAGCGAAATTTTTGGTATGAAGAAATTTTCTGTAGCAGTGTTGAAATAAAACTAACAAATCTTTTCAGTTTCTTTTCACGACCACTTTTCGTCGATTCGTGGCCCACAGCATGTAGAGTGTATCCTCTTTTAAATACATGAACTTCCTTTGGCCGTTTTCAATCTAGTATTTCTTTTACTTCTCTAAATAATTGTAGGGGATAAAAGGCTTGGCGGATCGGGGTATTTCGTTAATTTCAAGGAGCGGATTTTGTATTTATCAGCTTGGCAAAATGGATTTTCGTATTTTGTTTTCTTGGCGGATCGCGTATTTTTCCGATATTCTACGACGTATTTCAGACTTCACAGTCATCTTCAACGAATTTTTGGATCCTTTCTTCCCCGTGCGGACAGTGAAAAGGCTGCGTAGCATGATGTAACTGATCTGAGGAGGAGATATTTTCCGTTTCATCCACTGTTTCAACGTGCCAAAGCCAAAATGGCTACCGAGGGCAAGGCTGATCCAAAATAACCGTTGTGTACGGGAACCAATAACGCAAATAATTCAACATTTTAGAATCTTTGGAGAAAGTTGGAGCAACGTTGAAAGTGATAGCGATATTCCATTAGAGACTGATGAAGCTGACGAATTGGACTATGCAGTTGAAGCTGACGAATTGGACTATGAAAGTAGCGAATCATCACCTCATGAACATGGCGATTCCGAACCTGATTCTGATCTTGACAACGAAAATAGTTCTACGTTACTCTTTGGTGTTGAAACAGCAGATCCTGTTTGCATTAAACTTAATGACCTGATCCGCAGAGGAGATATTGACAAATCTAGGATCCTATAAAAATTCTTAAATGATGTCATTGAAATTCACTATGACCCTTTTCATAAATATGATAAGGATGTAATCGAATTTTTTAACACAATTACATATCTTGGTGGGCGGAGGGTAGCATGTTTCATTAGAGGTCCTATGAGTTTCAATGAAGGCAGAGGAAGTCACATAGATACAGAGAAGGAGAAGCACATGAATCTTGATGGTCCTTCATATAGAACATGTCTCAAAAGGCAAGCCGGCCATACTAACGAGCCTGGAGTTTGGAAACCTCTCTACCTCGGAAAACTTGAACTAATGAAAAACTTTGAATCTCTAACCATGGTTGAAACAAATGTCTTAACAGTGTACCCATGTGCCATGGGAAATGATGGGACGAGTCTGAAACCTGCAATCGAATTTGACGAGCGCTTGAAAGTAAACGTTGGTCTGGCTTTTAACATTGACATTGATTACGTTAGAAACAACCCTAGTCCCGATGCTGAGTTTTTAAAGGAAAATCTAGTTACTGAAGCTATTGGTACAGCTGTTACTAGCTTAGACTATAAGTGCAGTCTACCAGTTGCTGTTGAGTACTTTGGTAAAGCTGGAAAGACAGCAGAATCGTGTGAAAATTTGTTTCTTGAACAGCTGAAGATCCTACAGACTTGCGAATCCTGTCAGAAAGCTGCACCACCTGCCAAACATTTCATAAACTTGTTATGAGCGTTGTACCAGTTTTTGTCAAGCCTGTTATGAATCGAAGGATGTGTGTTCTGAATGTCATGATAAAGGTCAAGTAAGCCACAATGCATTGCTGCGAGCATGCAACTCCTGCCTCGAACAAAAACAAATTTGTTTCAGAAGAGCTCTCCTGGTCCTAACAGCTGACTGTGAGACAGGCAATAAAGTTGCTTTTGAACAGATTAAAAACAGTATTGAAAAAGAAGAAATAGATTCCAGCGCAACACTTTTAACGGTTCTGCCAGATTGCCCACATGTCAGAAAAAGCTTGAAGGGTTCCTATGCTAACTGGTGGCTGAAGCTAGGTAGTGAAAAAGGGAACATTGCATTGTTGCGCATGTTGCGTAACCGTTCCAGTCCAAGCACTATGTCGGAAATGAGAAAGCATATCCCCAAAAACGATCATGTAAAAAATAAAGATCGCCAGGATCCATCTGCTGTTTTGACCTTGTGTAGCCATTCACTCACCTCATTTTTATCAAAGATGGGATATGTATGTCATACAATAATTCCAGAGCTCGATTAGTTTACGACTGACAGCAGATTAAGTATGTACCCATCACCGATTAGTGTCTCAGTGCCAAGCTATGGCTGCCTGGTGTTCCTCTCGTGGGACAACAAGCTTGGTTCATCCACATTGTATCATGCACGCTTGCACAGCCCAGTTGAGAAAATGACTGTTATCGCCAAAAAATTGCCATCTAATCAGGTGCATTGCAAAGGGGGTGTAGCATTTTTAAGCTCGTGTGATGGGCCAGTTCTTTTATCTGAGCTCGAGGATAACAAATTGAAGTTGGTTGCAAGCAAAATAACCACAAAGGAACGCCAGAGGTGTCTTGAAGAACGGTTTCACTACCACCTAACTGGAACATTGGTTCGTGAGGTTCGTGAAAAGGCAAAGAAACGTTTCAATGGGGCACTATTCAGTGATCAGAGTCAGTCGAGCATTTTAGAGATTGATCATGATGACGAAACCAAACTTTTCGCTGGCAGCAAAGTAGAGGGCTGCCAAGATGGGCCAGCTAAGCAGTGTCAATTCAAACAGCCCATTGGCATCAGTGTAGAATTTGATACTGTGGTATATGCTTGCGATGCCCAGTCAAATTCTGTGAAGCTGATAACACCTCTTAATGAGACTGCAAAATTACTTGACGTTATTGGCAAGCTTTACGATTTTTCTGTCCATATGAAAGGACAGTCATGCTCAAACATGACACTGTCAGAAGCATCCAACAACAGTGCAACAGTGCAAGCAAGTTCTTATAGACTTCGAAAGAGCAGTTCGTTCTACAGAACGTTTATCAAATATCCTAAATGGACCACAGGGGATGGTTTCTGCGGCTACAACCAAGTCAGTAGATATTCTAGCTTGGGGTTTGCAGAGGTTGGATTCTATAATGTCATCTCTTGGAATTGTAGGCACGAATCTTCTCAGCTGCATGACGTTAGATGTGGAACATCTACATTCAACAAGCCATATTAAACACTCACTACTATCATAACAAGAATACTGTAGGGATTTTCGCAATACCGTCAAAGAAAGTATCAAGCGCTTGTCATCATCACCCTTTTACTATTACACAAGTAAAAAGCCTCATGGTATCCAAAGCCAGAGCATGGTATTCATTCATCAGCCCTACCTTTGGTTTCCCCATTATCTCAAATAAACATCGATGAAAAGTCGCTCGGTTAAATGCGAAGTTACGCTTGCACGTATGGCGCTGCTGTGCGTCAGAGGACAACTCGTCAAGAAACGACCATGGCAAAACATGGCACCATGCCAGAAATGATCTATTAAAGAAAGCTAGTCATCACAGAGAAAGCTAACTTTGCAAATCACAAAGGTACAGTGGTTGGTGCAGGGGAAATTGAGAGCATTGGAAACGAAGTTGATGAATTTGAACTCGAGTATTATTCAAGTACTAACGACAAAGATGATAATGCAACAAATTCTTAGCTCGACACAACGTTTCTGATCGGAGTTTCCACTCGATGTGGAAGAGCTGTGAGGATCAATAACAATTACATATCATGATATCGTGACCATTGGTATAAATAACACATTAACTTGACAGATTCCGTATTTTGCCAGAAAAATTAGCGGATTTTCGTATTTGTTCACTTAAAGTAGGCGTATTTTCGTATTTCAATACCCCCCTTTCACCCCCCCCCCCACATAATTATATTATCCAATAAGATTTAACCAGTCAGTTTTTAATTTCCGTTTTTTCAAGGTTTGGGATGTCAAGACCAAGAAGCTGTTATTTGATCTGCCTGGTCATGCCGACGAGGTTTGATCTTGTACTTTCGTTTAATCCAAACGCTCTCATCTTGGTTTTTTCTGCTTAACGATAATATAACGCATTCCACAGTCCTTCTAAGTCTCAAAACTTTCTAAGTAGGCCCGGTTTATAGGCGCTCCGCGTAATTCGGAAGCTAATCATGTTGCGGTGTCAGATATACGAGCTGTATTGTGACTAAGTCAGTATTAAAGTATGAGGTCCATTCGGTCACTTCTGTCGCTTAACTTCAGTAAAGTTCCATTTTTCATTAAAACGTTTCTCATTTACATGGCGAAGGTTCATTTTTCACACGTGCTAGTCAAAGCATGAGTGGAAAGTATTTTAAAATTAGATTTTATATGGAAAGAAGGCAAGTAGCTAGCATTCGCCTTCGTTAAAATGGGAAAATATGATAAAAATAAATTGGCACTTTTGTGTATTTCACAAGTTTGGGACATAGTAAGATCAGTTGCGTCGCCAGCTCGAAAAAACTAGGGTGGACAAAGAAATTTACTCGGCCCCACCCTGCAGACTCTCGGAAAAGGTTGAAAATGCATTTTTGACCTATTTCGATGCTTTAGGACAAGCAACTTTCTCAAGCAACCTTTTTCGTAACGGGGGCCTTTTTGCAAGAACAAAAATTGATCCGATCAGCCCCCTTCCCCCAAGGCTTTCAATGAATTTCGATATATTACAAAACCGATTTCTAAGAAAACTAGGAAAAAGTCCACCCCGTGGCGATACCAATGAGCAAGATCATCTAGATTGGGTGCAGCTTGCGAATAAAGTACTGTTTGTCTTTGAAAATTCCTACAATGCACCCCAATATTCAGCTTTAAAATCAATTTGGTAAAACAGTATATTTGAAATTCAACTATGTTTATTATTTAATTATTTGTTGGGTAAGCATATTAACGTACATTTTATGGTGAGGTTGACAGAAAGTTTGCAATAATCAAACAGAGAAGGAAACCTAATCAGAGCTAATCATACTTTTGCTTGCAGCTGATAGAACTCAAGTTTATCGCATTATTTATGCAGGAAGATGTCAGAATTAAAACAACTCTTTCAGATTAAACAAATTGTTTTCATTGAAAATCCTTTGACAAGGCTCTATTTATTTACAATGGAAAAAAATCATTTATAAACACTTCGATTTTTACTATACATTCACCGCATATAACCTAAAACAATTTATATACATCTAGAGTTTTGAAAGTATGCTTTGAGCGGGTCAAATAATGATCAACGAATGATTAGAATGGGTGTTATTGAACGAGAAGAGTGTTATTTAAACCTCAGCATCTGATCAACGATGCCAACACGGTTGTGCATTATAAATATTAACCTATAGAATTATATAATTAAGTGTAGAGGGGGTTTGCGTGCCAAACATATTACTGAAGCTATCAAGAGACACAAACGTAATTTAGCTGCAAGATATTGCCATGACGTCACTGTCACTTGAAATATATAAACCCCTAACCCTATGATGGAATCCAAAGACAGTAATGATACCCTGAACCTTTTACTTAGGCAAATCTGAGTACTCGTCACTTTTGTGTTCCTCGGATGGGAACATGTCGAACGATTTACCTGAAAAGGTGCCATCATGAAGCAGCCTCTCATTTTACTGTCTTCTTCGGGTTGTGTACGCCCTTCGACAAAACTCGTGATTGGTTTTGTATTCTTAAATTGCCAAAGCTTAAATATTAACCTTTTAGACTGTAATAAGCACGTCCTTGAAGGTTTTTCATAGATTTTGTGTTAAGTAAGTTAACATAAACTTGATTCACTTGTGGCTAACAACGATTAGAGGCGATTAACTTCTTCACTTTTCCAAAATTAGAAGATTTGTTTCTTATAAAAGTTCCTTGATGTCTAGCAAATTATTTCACGCTACCGGGCGCTATCTCATGTGGCAGAAGCCTTTTGCTACATAACTTAAAGTGGGAATGCAGTGAGTTGAATAAGATTATGATCCGTAGCTCACCTAACCTCAATGTCGATAAAAATACTTCTACGACACCGCAACTGTAACAGTAAACTCCTAAGATTGTATGTCCCCACAAGGCTGGCATAAGGAAGCGACATTCGAAAGTTAACCAAGGGTATTGAGAGCGGAGTTTATGCCTTTGTAGGGAAATACGCTTCTAGTACATCTTAAATTTTACCCCTTTACACAAACTGGCTCACAGCACCCCTAGATTCAACCCAAAAAACGCCATTTTTGTCCCTTGTTTGCACAGTATGTTGTTGTTGCTGGAAATGTCGGCGGAATGATGTTGGTGTGGACATAGATTTGATTCAAAGTTCTTTCTAATGGGGAACGGGCAATACTATTATCATATCCAAACGATCAATTCCAGATAGTTCATTGTGTGTTCTCCAGCCCGATTTGAGCAGATTATTAGAATTCGGACGCTGAGATGCTCTCGAAAACATCTTGAGATACGAGAAATGCTGTAGACTTTTTCCACCAGTGTAGGTTGCTTATTTTTTCTTGTTCCTACACCTTCTTGGACTGACGCTCTCAAAATCCTAGCATGCCATTAGAATCCTTTCTAGTTCTGTTCACATAGGGACCAATGTTAACTTGCATTTCCTGTAGCTCTGTTTTAATTCTCTCTAACACACTCTCCGTGCTTTCATTTTCTATCATACAAAGGAACCCAAAGGGAACTGCTTCGCCACTTTTGTTGAACAGAAACTTGGCATCTGTAACGCTGCCAAACTTGCTAAAGAATTCTCTAAGATCTTTTGATTTTGCAGCATCTGGAAAACAGCCGACAAAGAGCTGCTTTGGGTTGTGTGTCTTGTATACTACCGCTGCACAGTCTTTCTGTAAAAAAAACACAAAATCCTCACTTTAATTCAGAGAAAAAAATCCACTATTTGTAAATGTTAATCTACAAAAAGCCAAGCATTTTTGCTTTCAGGCGTTAAGAAAGCTGGTAAAAGGTATGCTATGTAAGTAGGTATGGGAACACTCCTTTACGGGTGTATTTGCTCCGATGTTTCTATGAAATTCGAAACTTCAAAATCTTTTGAGTGGTGGGATGCAATTTGATTTATTACAGGAGCTCAAAGCAGTACCGTTTAAAGCTAGTGTTTAGCGATGGAGTTTAAACTTTCTGGATTTCATATCGATGGTTGCCTCTTTCCTGATTATTCTTTATTTCTTTTGAGAGCTGAGATGCGTATGCCAAATTTTCTTGAAGAGAGATCTAGTACAGATCACAGTGGCTGCCCAAAAAGGGGGAACAGGAGGACCATGACCTCGCACTTTTCATAAACTGAAGAACTTTTCATCAACTGTGACCTCGCACTTTTCATAAACTGTGACCTCGCACTTTTCATAAACTGAAGCAAAATCAGTGGGATGATTAAGTATCGTTATATCCCTTTGGTTGCTAATACTCTCCCTACCCTCAGAGTATAGCCTAGTTTCACAGGTTTTCGAAAAGAACACAGTCTAAAGTTTCGAAGCTTTAGGTTCCCAGTAACAGCACTTGTTAGCGTTAAATTAAACTTGCCATCACTTGTAAAACCTGTTTCCCACAACTCAGTTGCAAGAAAAAATAAACAGCAAAAACTTTTCTCACTCCTTGCAATAATAGAACTTGTTAAATTAATAACTAAAGGTATAATCGGTGGGAAATTTTTCGAATCGTTTTTCAATTCAGAAACGGTTCCGATTTCATCTGCTAATTACGCATTTGATTGATGGAGCAGGTATCTGCATTTAATATTTAATGAGAAGTGCCTTTAATAGAAGATATTCAAGCAAGTATTGATTTAGATACGAATCTCTCTGTATTCAAATGGAAATACGAAAAAAAGAATTATTGAGCGTTATTAATAATATTTGTAAATAAAGTAGTGTATTTTAATTGCAAAAAATTGGGAGCTTGTTTGATCAACAAGAATGTAAGAATGGGATAGAAAAGTCCTTAGTTTCAAAAGACTAGGCAAGTTTAGCTGATTAGGTGTTTGTGATTTTGTTAACTTGCTAATATTCTAGGTATTGCGGCTGCTCGACAATGATTTTAGACTGAGTTGGTTTTTATCGCGTTAGTAACTTTAAATCATAGATAGTCTGTTCTGGCGATCCGTGGTCTTGATCATTGATTTTGCTGGTGCTGATTACGTTAGTAATCAGTGATTGATCATGGTGATTTCAATCAAACCCTGTGCATATGCAAGATGACCAGTGATTGTGATGTAACCGGATGTCGAGGGGCGATTCGTGATCTTGATCATTGTTTCTCTTTTCCCGGTGCTGATTATGTTCGTTATAAGTGATTGATTGGCTATGATTGTGGTGATTTCAATCAAACTTTTGCATATGGAAAGTGACCTGTGATTTTGATGCAACCGGATGTCGACTTTGGTCAGAATGAATGATTATTATCGTCATTAGTTTATGATGACTTAATGATTACGATGGTGTCGAAATGTGATGCCTTCTAGAAAACGAAAGTTTATTCTATTGCCTTTTAGTTGACTTTACCGGCTCAATAAGAAAATTTCTGAAAATATATTTGGTAAAGAGAAATTGTTGAAAAGATCTTAGCTAAGCATTATTAGTCTAGAACTTAGCCGACCATTAGAATATTTCCCATTTCCTTTCTCCATGCGGAATTATATGATGCACCTGTGATCGTGAGATATTGGGCGAAAAATGGAAATGCTGTCCTTTGTGATCAAATACTGTAATTATCGTGTTAACGAGTTCTCGTCTGTAATTACAATATCGTTCGATGGATAGAAAATTTGCTTCTTTATGTAAGAAAATGTTCGTGATGATAATCTTGACATATTTTTCTGGAAGTACCAAATGATGAGGCAGAAGTGTAATTTTTGGCTTTTAAGAGGATAAGGGAATTATTACCGATAAATATAAATGGTAGCCTGATCATTTCCAGGAGAATTCGCGTATAAAACTTATGCAACCAGATAGTTTTAAAACAATATTACTATTAAAATTATAATCAAAGATAATATTACTTACCATTTTGTTGCAATAATCTGCAAGAGCTGCAAATGACTCTGCAAACGCCTCTTCAAATAATCTCCGATCTTTACTGTTTTGATTTTATCTATGGGCGTCGGGCGATGTTGCCAACAGCTCTTATATGCAGTAAAAACGATTACCTCACTGCACCACCCCTTTCTTTCCGGCTTTCAATTGATTTTGCCTAACTGCGTCACCAACGCCAGCGGACAAAACCTTGGCCTTTCAATATGATATCAACAGCCGCGCTGCAACAAACTAGCGCGACCATACGATAGCCAAAGATTTATTACAGTCCTTGGCTTAGCCTTTCTCGGTACGGCTAACTATAGTGCCGTCAACATAATAATGCTTATTGTGTTGCTCAAACAATCAGGTGCTATCAAATATTAGCGGAACAATGGTTTTGTGGTCATAAAAGCTGGTTATGTAATTTCAATAAAACTTGTTTCTTTCAAGGCGGCATGTAGTATTGTTCCGGCTTTTACACCATTAGATTGTTCTTCGTGTCCCTTGTGACATGCGTACGTGCCATTTCTGGATCGTCCACAATTTTGTGAATAACTGTGGACTGTTCCCAAGTGGGTAAAAATTTTTTAGAAATAATATAACTGTTCTGGTCTGTTTTAGGGGTCAGATTTTAGTGCTTTGGCAATGCAAAAAAACCCAAAATTCAGGTCGCAATATATTTTTTGATATATTTGTGTCAATACAAAAGTTTACATTGCTAACATTGTGTCAGCGGTAACTCAGTGAATATATTTATATATGCGCTGCCACGATGCCATCGTATCGGAATCGTACCATAAAAGCTCTTGCGTAACCGGCATGCTTAGCGGCAGCTCTCCTGAGAAGTTGGTTGTTGTACGATACTCGTGCGATATTTTCATGCAGTACGATACTCGGCCAGTTTTGAAAAATATAGTTGCAAGACATGCTGGTTGCGCAAGAGCCTTTCGATCTCCTTCGTCGCTTTCCCTTTCTCGGCACTTTCGGGATTCAACGGGATCTTTCAAGACCTAGAAGTAGTTGTAGTTTTTAGCAGGGTTTCTCCCTCCCTTCCACATCTCAAATCCGTCGTGATGGTGCCATACCTTGTGCTGGCAGAACTGTAATCTTGGAAATGGCAAATGGTTTAAATATCAAGTGACCTCTGCTTGCCATTCTAGTTACAACTTTCATTGCTTTGCAATTTGAAACACAGTTTTAGGCCGTATAGTTGTTGTAGTGGGTGGTTTTGCAGACTATATATTTATGCTTATTTGCTCGATATTTTCTAGACGAATATCTTCCATGACGCCTTGGTTCTTCGGGATTCACTTTGCCAAAACGATCATTGTGCCCTCTTCCCACATATATGCAACGTCCATGCTCCTATACATTTTATATGTAGTTCCTTATTGCCAGTTTCTTGTAGAGTAGAATTTTGCCAACAATGTTACTTCAAATGCAAATTAAAATTTTGGAATAAAAATTTATTTCCACTTTCGAAACAAATCTGAAAAGTTTAACTAGGGCCCGGACAGTAAATAGGTAGGTAAAAAATATTTGCGTCGAAAAGGGTTGATTGTCCTGTAACTATTTCCCCCTTTACTGGAAAACAGGTTTCCACAATCCTTACCCTTGCCACATTTGTAGAAAAAAACATAGATGGTTGCTCTGTCAGTAACGTTATTTTATTATCAAATGTATAGTTTTATTTCGACAAGATTATTATTAGTTATCTAACGTATACTTATCTAACCGGATAAAATTTTGTCCCATTCGCAAACCAAAAAAATTTCTTTGTGTCTTTTTAACAAAAGTTTTACAGAATTGGAATTTATATAAAATCATCTATGGTTTGGTGTTTACGTTTTGTCAGAGGAAAAGAAAAGCTTGAGCACAACAGGAAATCCCCCCTCTTTATTGTCAAGTATGCATTGGCCTTCCTCAAAACTACTGCATCGTTGGATAACCTTCCTCCTGCTCACAGCCGTGCCCGTGGAACAGTGCTTTCGAGACACTGCTAATGTAAAGCTAAGAATTACAATGAATGAATCAATTTAAATGAAGCTTGCATGATTCAAATAATGATTATATTAGTTTTTAGAAACCTGCGGCCACTGTAAAACGTTTTATATAATTCGCACTTGCAATCTGACGATCACATGATCAGCGTTATCTTCGGAAATTTCAAAAATCAGAGCTTATTTATATTTCTTATCCTGAGTCTTTCTTCACATATAGTCCGCAGTCCGGATTATATAGTTTGTTTGCGATCAGTTATCTACATCACAAAATTCTGCTTTGCTGTGTAGGACTGTTTATCCAAGTTTCATCAATAAAGGAGGATACTTGCTCCTCACAGGGAAAACAAGGACTTCGCTTTTGGACTAGTGTGAACTACTAGCACCCTTTTTTCGAAATTTGGGCGAGCCAAAGTACACTTTTTGAGAATACCACATGAAAAATAGATTCTTTCTTTATCAAAGAGCAGTTGGTCAACTAGGGACAGCGTCTTTTCAATCTGGTAGGCCAATCTAAGTGTCACTAGACAATTTGGCCTACAAATTAAAAAGGGCCTGTCACAGAGAACAAAAGATAGTACCATATTTGAGTTTATCAACATGTCAGGCCGATCCAAATGATAGACCAGCTCACATTTAACTCCTTTGATTTTTGAGTAGTCTTTCAGATCCATGAAATTGATAGCATCAAAGAATTATAGAAACTCGGTACATGTCTGACAATATTTTCTAATTTTTTTCTCATAATTTACCTATTTTTTAATTAAAGCAATTTTTTCTCGAATTTTTGCTGTGCCATCAATTTTTTAGTATGACAAATCCCCTGTTTATTCATCACTTTTGAAGTATGTTTTATTCCTTTACAGGTGTACGCTGTTGACTGGAGCCCAGACGGCGAAAGAGTTGCAAGTGGTGGCAAGGACAAGGTCCTCAAAATGTAAGTCTTCAGTTTCTTGTTTTAAGTGCCAAAAGTTTAATAAAAGTTTTAATGACATAAGTTCAAAGTTAAGTCAGTCTCTAATATGAGACGAATTCAGTTACTAGCATTCAAAATTGCAACTATAAGAGCCATAGAACCAACCCTCTTTCTCAAATGATTTTCCATCCATTCTCTATTTTTCATAATAGATCTGAATGGGGAGTAAATGATCCAAAACTCTGTTTGCCTGCACAGCCATCTCCTTAATGCAATTAATTATGATAAAATGGTAACAGTATGTGTAAAATATGGAACGATTAATGCTCTCAAGCTTCATGTTTTCCACTCGTGAGACTTTTTTTTACAATCTTTTTTTATTAAGGCTTAGCTCGGCAACAATAACGTCGCTTCCTCTCACGTTGCTTTCAAATATTAATTGTACAAATTAGCTAATCTGGTTTAGGTTTCATATTAGAGGGCTTAACTTATAGGGTGGTTCTTTGACATTCTGAGAAATGTATTACAAGATTTTGCACAAAATCAAAAGATAGTTCCTTTAAAACTTTTTGTTCTTTAAAACCCTTTAAAACTGTTTTCCTTGTTAGGGCCTAGCTATAGGCCCATGAGCCTTTCCCTACCATCATCGACAATAAAAAGAAGAATATTCTGGGGGTCAAGTTCCCCTCCCCCCCTCATCTGCCCTGCCTCGAAAATTCAATACCTGCTGCAAGGCAACTACCCTCCTTCTTCAATAATTTATCTCCACACTTTTTACTCCCTTTAAATGCGATTGAAGTTCGTTGTGAAATGCCACTGTTGTAAACGCTGCTAAATGCAATGTAATATATGTATTTTGTATAGGTATGGCGCTAGGAGGCACTTTTGCTGTTGCTCCCTATTCTATTCATTCGACTTGAATGCGACAACCTTTTAAATTCTGCCCCCAACGCATCTTATCTTCCAGAAATCATATGATATAGTTAGTGACGCTTTACCCGTGCGTACCTCGGGGCGCGTACCTCTTCATGCGTTGTGCTTGACTCTTGCTTATAACCAGTCTTTATCAAAAGCTAAAATCAACAATCTTGATTTGATCTTCTCTCTTTTCCCTGTTAGCGCTTTGTTGTAGGTCTTCCAGCCTTATAGCGCCATTTCTCAAATTTTTTGCAGAGAATTTGCTTTACGGTCGATTCTAGCTATTTTCACTCTGCTTAAAGTCCAGTGGTGGTTTCAATCAGTAAATACTTGCACGAAACTACTGTAAATCCTCGAATTAGCCATAGGCAACCTCAGTTGGCAAAAATCATCAAATGGAGGGGTCAATTCGAGAATTTACAGTAGCAGTGGGGGCTTATTCGAGGGGGGGGGGGCTTATTGACAATTTGTAGTTCTAGGGTGGGGGCTTATTCGAGGGGGCGGCCAATTCGAGGATTTACGGTATTACTAGAGTTGACTCTGTTCAACTAAGAGACTTGATGTCTGGAAACTCTCTTATTCGCCAACAGTCTAACAGCCTGCTTAGATTAATGCTCATTTTTTCCTAGAAACTTTTTAAGCGACTCTTACCGAGGTAGTTTTTTATTCTGCTTTTACCCCTTCAAGAGGAAGAATACATTGACCCAACCCAATGGTTAAATCCTTTTTACTTTGACTTTTATGTGATTTGCAACTTTCCTTTTGAAATGATCATTTAAAGTTTCATCAAAATGGTTACAAAAAAATGCAGAATTTCGCCGACAAGCAATAACTGGCATATTTCTCTATTGATGATCTCAAAATTCAGAATTTTTCCAGAAATATTCAAATCAAATCCGGATTTTCATTGTATCAAACAGGTTGCACTAGCAATGGTCGTCATTCGAATGATTTGGACTTGATTCAATAACAATTTAAATGATAAGAAAAAGTAAACAACAAAACCCTTGTTCGGTAAACTACGACGTCACCATTACTCATGCTGCTCTAAGAATTATTGTTTACTTTTAACAACTTACTCATTGCCATCGTCAATCTTCTTGGCAGTCCTTCAAGAAAGTGTATCTCGCCATTGTAATTCGTTGCCTTTTGTTGAGTCCAATGCATAAGATTGTAGCGTGTATACATCATGACGTCAAATTAAATTAAGAAACGTCACAGCCTCATTTTCATGAATTCAGGGTTTCTCGTTAGAGCAATAGCCAAAAAACATCGCTTTTTCTTCTTAAGATTCGATAGAACTTTACGACAAAATGCACACCAATGAAGTGTGGCAATCCCTGCTCTGCTAGAAAGGAGTTTTTTAGAAGATACTTTCGAAGAAGAATCTAATTTGCAGTTAGTTATCGGAAACAGTAAACAATTAAGAAATTTTCATATTCAGATTCCAAAAAAATTCTCTTGGAAATAACAACCTATTCCCTTTTTCTGTATGGGGCATAATGTTGCAACATTGGAGTTGGAACGGGATAAGAACAGGCTCAGCATTCAAATCAGACTGCTTACTTTGAAATACTTCTAACTTTTGGCTACTTTTATTTGGTGTGATTGTCTCTACTTTTTAAACTGTAATATGGTTAATTAGAAAGGTGCCGAGTATTTCTGTGGTGATATAAAAAACATTCATAACAGGGATATGTAATCTTCGTTAGTAGTTATGAATCAATATGTGCAATTTATATGTTGTGAATGTTGAGTGTCTGAAATATTTTGCGCCTCTTTGAATTTTATTTCTCTTTTTAAAATTGCTTACCGAAATGCAAAAAACACATGTCAAACTTGTAAATTGATAATTAGTATACTTTCGACACATTGTTAAACAGTTTGGGCCAGATCTATGCATCAATTACTGTACTAAATGGAACCTTTTCTATTTCGTTATCAAGTAGGGCTGTAGATTTCGATTTATAAAGGTTGTTTCTATTTTTCATTTCAGATGGAGATCTTGAGTCCTATTGCAGTATAAAGTAAAGTATAAAGTATTGATACCGTGGTAGAAGCATGCTTCATGATATCTGGCAAACAACGTGGCCACTTGGGTAATGCAGTAGGATATGAATTTTGGAGTTGAATTGTTTGTGAGGATCTTCAATGGCAGCAAGTACTTTCATGAGCATAAATTTTTTTCATCGAGAACTTTGTATGGTAATGAATGCGCTGGCAGAAGAAGATTTTGGATAACATTTCACTTATACTAAATATATCCGCAAAATGACAATTAGAGCTTTTTAAATTTACTGCTGGTAAATTTTTTAAAATCATTTTTAAGAGATAATCTTTGGACTCTATCGATCCACCAGAAAGTAATAATTATTCTAGCATCAGTATCAAAATTTTATGAAGAACATTTTGTATGTTTCGCGAAGATATTCTTCTACCTCATGAGCTGCCCAATTTTATTATTTTGAATTCTTTGTGGCATGGCTAACTCACTTAAATTTGTAAATCCTTCTTAAAATTCAATTGAGTAAATGTCACTGGTTGGTAGATTTTACCATCTCAGAGCCATGACTTAATTATAAATCTTCTAGCATCAAACTGGTTTATTCCTGTAGCAATAATCATTATAATCCATTGGAACTTTCTTGCTGAAAATAGATTATAAAAACTGCTTTTTCACAATCTTTTAAAGTTTTTCATTATCTGAGCTTATAAGCAAAAGTCCCAAACTTTAGTAGGATGAAGTTGCTTTCAGGGAAAGTTAATTCACGCACATCTATTATGTACTTTCATGTATAATTGAGCTGCTTATTTGTTTACCACAAAGTTGAAGTGCATCGTGGGTAATATTTATTTGCTCTCAATAGTCATTCTAAAACCACCTCTACTCAATTTTATCTCGGAGTCTCGGAGCAATTTACGTTGCTCGGTTGTTGAAGAAGTTCGTTGTTCGATATTCTTTGCTCGCAGAATTTAAGTAATTTCACTTTGATAGATATGACATGCTGACTATGCCCGTAAAAGATTTACGAAAGGATCGTTTGAAGAACATATTAAGAACTTTTTTTAATGGTCCTAAGAACGGAAAACTGCTTTTTATTTTTCTACGAAAGTTCTTTCTCTAAATTTAACAATGTTGGTATATTACATTAAATGCTTCTAGAAAAATATAAACTCTTATGCAAAGAAAAGCTTATGATGGCAAGTTCTCTTTTTTTACTAGATTGTTGTGCTTTTGTCAAACGGAGTCTCCTAAAATATCTCACCGAAAAGTGGAAAGGTTTTGATTTATTTGAGGAGAAGGTGTAGGAAGTGAAAATTTTGCTTCTCTGTCACCCTGCGTAGATAATGAACTGCTTTAAGAAATTATGAATAGTAGCAAAAGGAAACAAAGCCATTTAAAGTTTTATTATTAATAAAAGTAAATGTTTTTTCTATTTATAATATTCTTAGCATCAGTGGAAATATATCAAGTTAGTTAAGAAATATATCAAGTTTACTTAAAAAGCATATAAAGAGAACTTAAAAAATTTCACGTTGATTTAAAAAATATATCAATATTATAGAGTATTATTCAAGATAACTAACTTAAAATATACTTAACAAAAGTATTTTACTGTCACTCCTATATTTCATTCTTGCTCCTATTTTTTGCAGTTCGTTCAACATCAGAGCTAAAGATAGATTATTTTGTTTTGTTCTGTATGGTATTTCTTACTGAAAAGAAAAGCACGGAAAAGTTAAAAAGCGCTACGACATGATAAACCTGATTTTCTACATTGCTCTTTGATAGATTGCGTTTTCAAATCTCGCTGTACAAAATGGTACTTTAAGCGACACAAAATAAGAGAGAATACTAATTTTTGAATTTTGCGTCAATTTTTACCCGCAAAGAGCTTGCTTAGAGTAAATATGTTCCTTTGACTTTAGGAAGAGCAATTAAGTATTTATGGGGTACGGTTGTCCTGGGAATGTTAATTATTCATACTTTAGAATGCTTGCAAGAAACTTTCTTTACATTAATTCATGCTGGATTTTACCATAATTAGGTTATGTAAAGTTTGCTTTACAGAAAGAGTGTTCAGACATAGTAGTGGTGTAACCGGGGACAAATTGTTGCAATGTTACCTCCTTACCCCATCAATTCCTCGTCCCGTTCCTTTCATTTTTCTTTTCTCTTATATTTATCTTTTTCGATCTTCGTTTGAACGCTCTTCTTTTTTAGAACTTCGTCCTTTTTTGAGGGAACTTATACACACCTCTTGTGTAACAACGCAATTTTTTACCCTTATGTAACTGTTGTCGAACTACAATATGAGTCTCTTGGATTTTGAATTGAGATATTACAAAACACAAAGCACGAGAAATTAATACTTGTAATACTAAAGATGTCAGTTTTTGTATTTGCTAGATACTTTAGATGCCTTAGTTCTAGGAAATTTGCCCTAAATTCTAAAATGTGAATTCTAGTGAAACGACCAGGAGAGGAACAAGTGTTTTCATTTTTGTGTTAGCAACATTTATAACGAGGCTGAACTATAATGGTGAAATAATAGGAACGAAGAAAAATGGCAACAGCTGCAGAAAGCTCGGTGCCCAGCTACATCAAGGTATAGCTGCTGTTTTGCTTAATAGATACTGTCCCTTGTTTCTACGTGATTCTTAATTAAGACTGTTCTATTAAAACTACATTTGGGGTAAAAAAACAAACGAAAGAAACTAACTAAGTGAAACGATGTTCTTCAATTTAACTTGACACTTGTTTTTTTTAATTAAACAATGTCTGTGACTTGGGTGTTAAATAGTCAAAGCCAATCGACAAATGCTTCATAAAAATCGTATGATGTTCTTTCAAACCATCTAAGAGTCTTCTTTGCAGATAAATGATTTATGTAAGAATGTTTTATCTCCCTTTAGATGGTTATCAGGCTTTTAAAATTTAGCCTGTTTAATAAAAGAAAAAGCATTCAATAAGTATCGCAGCATGTGAATTGATATTGCTGTAATAAAAATAGTTTTTTTCACGCTTTAGGCATATCCAATAAGTCAAGATTACAACATTCAGTGGAATAAAAAGCTTGGATCAGGAATCAGCGGACCTGTTAGGTAATTAAATTTAACTCTTTACAACCCAAGTTTTTTTCTTTTGTTCAAGAAAATTAAATTCTGGAGAAAGTTTTCTAGACGTGTGTGCCTAGAGTTTTCCAGCTGCATGCAAAAACTAAAATGCAATGTTCACCTTCATGTTCGATAGCTGTGATCTGTTTGAGTTTTGAAGGTGCAAGTAGCAAGTGTCAGGGCCGTTGTAATGCAGGGTAGAAAGGATGTGACACCCTTTTGAGAAAATTCCTTTCAAAAAAGAGGAGTCTTTTGCCATCTAGTGATTCTTAACAGCAAATTTTGAAACTTGTGGGAATATGAAGGATGGCTCTAGCATTTAGTCAGCAAATGGTGTCTTGAAACCCCTTTGAGTGCAATAGCTAGCAACAGCACTGGCAAAAGGTAGCATAATTTGCTGGAAGAACTATATTTAAGCTTTTGATTATAACCTGACAAGTTTCTTTTTGTGCGAGTAGGGATGATTTATATTGCAAGCTTGGATTTAGGACCTTGCATGTAACTTTGAGAAAATGCATGCTGTGCAGCTTGGTGCAGGATGCACTGGGGCATCATTGAAGGCTAAGGATTTGCATATTTAACTTCCTTAATATTTTGCATTTTTTGCTTTTGGCTAAGCAATAGATCTGGCTAAGCATTATTTGGCCATTGTTAAAGTAAGCAAACTGCTCAAATGGCAAACTGCTCAAATGGCAAACTGCTCAAATTGCAAACTGCTCAAATGGCAAACTGCTCAAATGGCAAACTGCTCAAATTGCAAACTGCTCAAATGGCAAACTGCTCAAATGGCAAACTGCTCAAATGGCAAACTGCTCAAATTGCAAACTGCTCAAATGGCAAACTGCTCAAATGGCAAACTGCTCAAATTGCAAACTGCTCAAATGGCAAACTGCTCAAATGGCAAACTGCTCAAATTGCAAACTGCTCAAATGGCAAACTGCTCAAATGGCAAACTGCTCAAATGGCAAACTGCTCAAATGGCAAACTGCTCAAATGGCAAACTGCTCAAATGGCAAACTGCTCAAATGCAAACTGCTCAAATGGCAAACTGCTCAAATGGCAAACTGCTCAAATGGCAAACTGCTCAAATGGCAAACTGCTCAAATGGCAAACTGCTATAGTTTCTCGAATCAATGAATTTATAAGTGAATAATTAAATGCAATGCTGTCAATCTATTAATAATTTTTCTTAATCAAATTCACAGAGTATGTACAGGCAAAGTCACAAAACAACATTATGCACTGAAATGCTTGGTGGATAGACCAAAAGCCAGGACAGAAGTAAATCTTATACATTGAACTTTATAGTCTCTTTATGTTACTGGTTAATTCAAACTGAACAGATATTGTGATTAGATCATTTTAATGCAAACCAACCAAGCCAACCAAGTCATTTTGCATGATAAGCATTTCAGTCCTTTCTCACACTCACAAACATCAAAGCAGAATTCTCACGCATTTTACAACAAACTTCTTACTTTATTTAAATTTTTCAATTTTGTTCCAAATCCAAGCAAAATCCCTCTTTCCTAGCAAGGCATGTTAGCATTCTAACAGTGACTAGATAATAAGATGACTAGAAATAACAAAGAATCCGTAGTAAGTTAAGTGTTGCTACATTCATTGGCAAGCCTACACAAATAGCAGGTTAGCTTTTTTTGCAACTATGACACATTGTGAATTGATTGGAAAGGTAAAAGAGGAGCATAATATCCCTTAAGTTAGAGTTTTACTATAGCCGATTGCAATCAGAGAGGTCAGAAGGGAGTAACTTTTTCTTGAGTGATATTTGGGTAGTAGTCACGGGAGTGAGTGATACTTGGGGCACCGCTTGCTCGTACATCGCATTCCTTCCTCTGCATTCCTGGTCCACAGTGCTGTGCACTCTGCAATCATCATATGCGCAGTGCAGTTGCACCAGATTAATTCATTTCATGATCCTGTAGTTATGAATTCTTTCTCAATAAAAACTTAATTGAATGGCAAAAAGAAAGCCCCCTTGATCCCCCACCCACTTCTGCGGTCCCTGCTCAAAAAAGTCATTTCTGAAGAATAAGAGGGCCTGGCAAAAGAAAGGTTTCAGGGGCTACACCCCTGGAAAGGTTTCAGGGGCTACACCCCTGGACCATACTTTTGGTTCTATGGTAGTAAGAATTCATTCTGGATATTAATCATGATTAGAGTGGTTATTTATCACTTAAATATTTTTTCTATTGCTATGCAGTAGCCAGGAATGTAAATACCAGGGAGTGTAGGGGAATCACAGTCCTAAAATCTTTGAATTTCTTAGAATTAGTTGGAATTTTGAAGTTCTCAGGAGAACCAATAGCAATTTGAATGCTCATTTACACCTGTGAATACTTTAACATAGCACTAGTGCCAATAATTTCTTGATTCAAAAAGGGACATGAAAGTACTGTTTATTAATGTAAAGGTTCTCTAAGTAAAACTAGAGAAATTTTAGTTCACAACTATATAACAATTGACCTATAGTAAGGTGAGAATTTTATACCCTTCATCCACCCAAAAGTATTCATAATTTAACTCCCTGGCTGTAACAGACATATCAATAGACATTTTCTGTGATTCTAAGCATGAAAGCTGTATATCTCACCCAAAAGAGAAAACTAACATAGTGTCACATAACAAGGTAATTAGGCAAAGTCTTTTTTTTCCAAAATGTCACATGCTAAGATCATGGTCCCTCTTGCCACCCATTTTATGTCATAAATGTGCAAGGTAGATTTTTATTTTTCACACTTTGCAACATTAAACCATTTTTAATCATAATGTTTTTTAATTTCAGGTGGAACTGCATTACAGATGTAATCACCCAAATATTGTTCAAGTTATAGATGTGTATGCAAATGAAATAGTTTTACCTGGAGAAATGGTATCCAAGTAGGTTGCTAGTTTATAGGTCAATCCTTTGTTAGTGAGGTTCAGATTTCCTATATGCGCAAAGTAATTTTCATATTCAACAATAATCATGATGATTTCTGGTCAGAGAAAAAAATAAGCAATTTTGTAGTAGTAAATATATATTTGTGCGAGGATGGCTCAGTGGTGCAAGGATGGCTCAGTTGTTAGAGGCACTGACTACAGACCCAAGGGGCCGTGGTTCGAGTCCCTGGCATGACAAAACTTTCACCCAGAGTGGGGAGAGTCACCAGCTCTTTGTAATTTCAGGCGTAGGAATCTTGAGGTGTGGTCACATCGAGAGGAAGGACCAGGACACTGCTTGATAAGCATAGCTTCTCAGTGTCCTAAAAACTACCTTTTTGAAATACAATACAAATATTGCTGTCTTTACATAATTGTTCTTTTAGCTCCATTCAAACAAAGCTTCATTTTCTAAATCTGATAACTAGAAAATCCACCTTGTTCATGGCAATTGCTAGTTACCTCAAAAATCTTTGATTGTTTGGGTCCTTAAAGTTGTTTAGCAAGAGAGACTTTTTAGTGATAATAGCCATTTATTTCTAGCTTGTATAAAAGCTTGTTTGTTGTTTGTTGCTCTGTCAGTAAATGGGTCTCAGAAGCGTTTTGCTATTTTTGTATGAACTTGTTCGATCTAGATCATATTTGCTTATGGTCATGGAGTATATGGAGGGAGGTGAACTGTTTGAGCGAATACGGAAGAAGGTCAGTTTCACAGAAAAGGAAGCATGTGAGATAACTAAGCAAGTGAGTATGCCTTTTCATTTTTGTCTTTACATTTCATCAACCAGTGATATTTGAATGATCATATGATGTTCAGCATTGTTGCAAAAACTCATCCAAAGTATTATTCATAAAGCATGATAGCAAAGAGCTTAGTTTTGGAAATACATATTACATTATTTGATGAATTGTCAAACCCTGAATACCTGGCCTCATTCCAGCTTTGGCACAACCCCTAACCCAATGGTCTTGAAACAAAGTTGTATTATGAGACAGTTTTTTCAATTCCTACATTCAAACTAAGAGTTTTTTCTAATTCATTTATTAATTTTTTTTCAAGGCGGTTTTATTTCTTTTAGATGTTTTACTGGAATGATATTTTCTTCAATTCCAGGAATTTTATAGTGAAATATTTTGTTCAGTTTTTTAATGCCAGGATTGAATTATCTTGAATTCATTCTCTGCCAAATGGAAAATTTAAGTAAACATGCAGATGAAGTGCAGTTAGGTCAAGCCTGGCCATTGGAAGGGGCCATCGCCCATGTGCTTCTCTGCATCTTCCAAGATTCCTTGAGAAGGGTGATTCATCACACACCTGTTCACCAATTTTTATGGCAACCACCCACCTTAGATTTTTGTTGACATTTTAAGCTTAGCAAAATTTGTCACACCTTAAACCTTTATCCATTCAGGTTACCATAACCTGTTAATGTTAATCACATAGAAATATCGATTTCATTTTCCACACTTAATACCAAAAAAGTGTACTTCAACTAATTGCCCAATTCAAATAAAGCACAATATCAGCACCTCAATTAAGGGAATTTTTCTTTTGTCTTTTTTGTTAATGTTCAAAGAGAAATATCCATGTTAAAGTAAAACTTGACTAGAATTTCCAAAAGTCACTTATCTACTCTTCTTCCTCATGTATATAGGATAACAGCATTTTGTAAAATATATAATGGAAGCTGCTCTGTGATTGTTTCTGAAATCAAAGTTTCAAGTTTCATCTTTTCTTGGGTTGTGAGGCATAAGGGATTTTCCAGATTCAGTGGATAAGAATGAGATTCAATCAGGGTTGAATTATTTAAAGGAAAAACAATGGAAAGAACTTGTTATTCCTTTATTTCCGTCGTGGAAAGTATATTATATAGTATTTTCTGTTTTTGTTTTTGAAAACCCCTTTTTATTGTTTTGTGTTGTATTGCATCAATGCTTTTAAATCATTGGACTAATAAATTCCAGATTTTTGGAAAAATCACCCACCTGACTCAAACAAGGAGATTAATTTACCGCCTGCCTGCCAAAATTCCTATGGCCAGGTCTGAATGAGATTATCCATGCCCAAGCTGTCATGATTTCATTACTTATCAGTGTTTTTGAAGTATTGTTTGCTAAACTTTTGTAATATCCAAGCATTTTTCTTCTAGATTTCATCTGGTTTGGGTCATGTTCATCAGAAAAATGTTGCACATAGAGATTTAAAACCAGAAAATCTGCTTCTTAAGAGTAGGACCGATGTGAGTAAATCTATTTTGTATCTAAATGTGACGCAGTCCTGCTAATCTTATCTTCTTTGGCTAACTTATGTGGCTTTTTACATAATGAAGTTTATCAATGCATGTTGTTATCAGTCATTTCATTTCTACCACCAGATGACCACCAGGCCTCTCTATGAGAAGTATGATAGGAGGCTGAATAAGCACCATGGAAACTTCAATTTTTATTTTTGTATAAGCTTATCCAAGTGCTAATTGATACCTTTCAATATGTAATTATTAGTACTTGGTTTTGAAAAAAAAGAAATTTCATGACAAACTGACAATGTCTACCCTTGCAATTATGTGTCTGTTCTGTAAATAAGGAAGAAACTTCACCGAACCTGTTATCCCAGTAAAGCAGGAAATTATGACATATAGATAGAATAGACAAAAATCGACATGTTTCTGTGGGCAATGCTAAGATAGACAACTCTCATTTGTGTAAGCTAAAAAGTAGTTGTCCAAGCCACTATCTACAAAAAAGGCATGTTTATACTTCAAAGTATTGATGACAGTGATGTTTTGGAAGTCAGTGCTTTAATCTGTAAAAAGGATAGATAGATAGAAACTGCAAAGAAAGTTTGCTATTGTTTGTTCTAAATATGTCTGTGGTGTGGTGGTAATATAGTTTTAGTAACTCTATTAACACAAGACCACAGAGTTGCGCTGAATTACGAATATATCATAAAGTTAATGTGAGAACTTCATTGCAGTTTGACTTCACTTTTCCATCTAGTCGTAACATTTTAGTTTTATTTATCATTTTAAAAGTTGTTTCTTTCATAATGGACGGAATAATGATAAATCTTGCATTAGGATTATGACGGTCTATTTTAAGTATTTTTACTGAATCAAAGAGAGCTGAAGTGTGGAAAAAATATTATTTGGATATCAAGCCTCTTTGTTCATTCTCGTGAAACCCAATTTTAATTTTCTTTAATAGAACGTTTTTGTGAAAATAGCTGACTTTGGTTTTGCAAAGGAAGACAAGGGAGATCTGATGACGCCCCAGTTTACTCCATATTATGTTTCACCACAAGTAATTTTATCATGTTTCCTTACTGCGATTTCCTTTTTATGGCCTTTTATAATTTTTTCATATTTTGACTAATATAAATTATCCATATCTTTTTAAATATTAACTACAAGCATCTTTGGGTATTGATTCATAAAGGGCGACGTAAGACATTAAGATTCAAACTTGGTCATTATGATAGAGTGATACAATTGTATTATCTCTAGGAACCCCTACCTTTTGTAGGAGCTGTTCAATAGAAAATTGTGTCCATATATTTTAAGAATAAATGATATTCTCCAACTTCCTAAAGCATGTATAGATAAATATTGCAACGAGTCTCTTTCATTTAGGGGTAGCTTGAATCAATTTCCATACCATTTCCAAAGCAATTTCGATAGAATGAGTTTAATGAAATAATAGGTTGGGAAGAATCTAATTGCCGCATTTTATTTTATATTTTAATTTCACACAAGGTAAATAAAGTAAAGTTGGCTTTTATGTGCTTAAGCTTTTATTCTAGCCGATTACTAAATGTCTTATTAATACTAAACATTTGAAAATACTGTGTTAAATGTGTGCAAATCTAGAGGAACGACAAGTTTCATATCTAGCTATCGTGGTTTTAAAATTTTTTTGGCAAACCCTTTTTCCTACTAAGCTATACCAAACTTTTTTACAAGGAAAGAAAATGTTTGTCAGTAAGTTTCAACGTAAATTCGTAAATTTCTCCGAAACTATAAATAAATATCCAGCCAAACTTTAATATATAGTTTTTTGATCAACTCAACTTGTCCACCAATTGAGAAATTAGAAGAAATGTTTGTTTACCAAGTTCATACTTTTGCTTTCATTCAGAACTTACTTTGTATAATCAAAAGTAAATTAAACAATCTAAATCCTGTTTCTATGGATGATTATTTTTCGCCCAATCTAACGATTCATAACATACCTACTCAAAATAATGCACCATGCATAAATGCATCTTAATCATTCAAAAAACTGCCTTGAAATATCTTTATATTGAGAAATGGTATTTTTGTTCGTCGCATGTAACCTCGAAAAAACTATTGATTTTTATATCTGGTTTGTAGTTGTAACTAGATCAGCCTATAACTATTCTGAAGTTCCCTCTCGAATGAACTTTACCAAATCCTTTGTTCTGTTTTGTTAGGTTTTAGAAGCACAAAAATTTCACAAGGCGCAGAAATTAGGCCACATTCCTGCAGGAAGCCCACCATACACTTACAGCAAGGTACTAGTACTTCTTTGAAATTATTGTTAAGAAAGCTTAAAATTAATGAGGAATTTTGCTAACCTATCTGCTGTAAAGTGTTTGACTTCGTTTAGATGGCGCTCTGCTTTCTGTAGTGGGTAGAACTTAGTGTTTTTGTATTGCTACTTCTAGATTTACGTCTAATTCGATCATCAGGCAACTAAATTTGGAGACAGTTGATCTATTATTGACAGTGGAACAGGAAATTCACCGTATATATTCACTCTGGCTCTGCGTTCTGATATTTGTTCACAGGAATAGTTATGAAATAGCAGAAGGACTCTGTATACTAATACAGCATATGTTCAGCGAGATATATCATTAAAGATGTGTATAAAACTTTTATGTCGATGGCTACGTTGAATAACATTTCGGCTTCGCGGCTTTGAGTCAAAGAAAGGCCACCTATGCAGTTGTTTTGAGAAAGATCAATACATAGTTTGACGGACTATATAAAAGGAGAAATATTCACCACTGTGCTTGAACTTTTGTTTTTTATCTGACAAAGTGTATGTACCAAACCATAGACAATTTAACTTAAATTCCATTTCTAAGAAACAGTTGTTCAAGAAGATACAAGAAAATGCATACAAGGCAAGATTTCCTCTGCAGGAAGGTTTAGACGTTTTCTGAAATCTGCTGTAAATATTGAATATTGATCTGTACAGTTGCAATCACAGGTTGGTTTTTTTTAATTAACACAAATGATTTCAGGGTTAGCTCGGTTAGCTGAAACCATATTTCTATTTGTAGAGCTGTGATATGTGGTCGCTTGGGGTGATCATCTACATCATGCTATGTGGCTACCCGCCTTTCTACAGTGAAAACCCGCGCAAACAACTGTCTCAGGGAATGCGACGGAGAATAATGGCTGGTGAATACGACTTCCCACATCACGAATGGGGGCGTGTATCTGACCTTGCAAAAGATGTTGTCAAAAGGCAAATCAAATTTTCTTGTACCTTGCGTTAATAATAAATGTTATATCTTAATAAAATACAGAACGTAGCAAGAATAGAATGATTAGGGATCACCGTTGTTTCAGAATAATAAGAGCAAACGCGATTGGAAACAAATAATTTTCATAATTTTTGGGGCCTCCAACCCTCTCCCCCAATGAACAATTATTGGTAAGGCCCTGAAATATTTTGTATCAAGCCTTTCTACGGAGGAAAAATTATGGTTAGCGTTTAGAAGCCGATTACCCAAAACATTATAGCCTTTTTCGAGAGCAAAATACTGGGAGGGATATAGTGGAACTGCAATATTTTTATAGATGTTTAATTTATAAAATTAAATGAGTAAATTTTGTTCCTTTTTTCATGCTTAATCGTACTAATTTTAATAATTCTCCAGTAGTTTGTTTTTAAAAATTTCCTAGGAGTTTGTTGCATAGAACCCAATATCCTTATGTAACCATATACCTATTTTCGAATTTCATTTGAATTTCGGCCAAACAGGAAGCTAATCCTACAGTTTTCTTGGAACCATGGCACATGGTTATTGTGTTGTTAGCAAAGCCAGCAACTTCCTAGATAGTCCATATAGGTTTGTATGTCTTGTTTCGTCCATGTATATCTCTTCAAAGAAAATAATTTTGTCAAATAGGCTCCTGAATGTAAATCCAGAGGACAGAATGACAATACAGCAACTCCTGGTGCACCCATGGCTAAATAACGGAAAGGCTCCAAACACTCCTCTCCAGTCTCCTCACCATTTGATGGATGAAGTAAGAAGAAATTCAATCACCTCTGTATTTTTTATGATTTTCATCTCTCACCTTTCATGTTTACTCTAGAAGGACAAGTAAGATGGACAAAACGATATTTTCCTAAGTACATCGTGACTGCATCAAAACAGGTATTTTCATAAGTCGACTTCAGTTTTTTTCTCATAAAAAGTAGCTTTTCTTTCTCCGTGCTAATTGACAGAAGTCCACCGAGAGATCAATATTCTTAACCCAAAGGACATTTATTTCTAAGCAAAGTTTATTGGAACTTGTTCAATATGAGTCAAACATGAGGCATCCAGTTAAAATATTAGTAGCTTAAAAGCTGATAATTGACAATGAATGAGTTCCAATTTTGCAATTTGTTTAAGTCCAGGCAATAGTTATCTAAAGCTAATTTCACCTCCTGTATGACGTCATTTTCAATAAAGAAACATCCTGATTTGCGGGCGGATTTCATATGTCTTTAGGCAGTTATTGGAATTTTTACGATTCAAAACCAGTTGCGTTCCATTCTTTGTCGAAAGACGAGTGATGAATAAAGCTTCGCTTTGTCTGGTAAAGTATCCTTTTTATAAGACGAGAAAGCTATTCTTTGGGGTATTTTTTTATATCGAAGCATGGAGGTGATACTGAGCTTAGCGGGCCTTTGACTACCATGGAACTCCCTTGAGCCCGGTGTTGAGTGGACAAGGGTTTATACAGCCTGTAAAAAACAACAACACTGAATTTTTGAAATTTCTTCGTGTTTTGTCATGCTCTTTATGTTATGATATCGTCTGGCATTTTGTTTGATCCCTTCGAGCTGTTTAATAAAGCCATATTTGACTTCTAGGAATCATTTGAGGCAGCTATGAATGCACATTCTGCGATGCTTACTGATATGAGATTGCCTGAACAAGCTTTCGGAATTGACTCCAATGCGATGGCAAGGAACCCAATAATCCAAAGACGAAAGGCACCTGATCATGGGTAAGGCAGCATTGCAATTGTTTTTTCGAAACAGATTTTTCTTTCTGTATTGAATAAGCTTTCCAGCTCAACAACACAGTAAGGTTCACCGGAAATAGATTATCTGCCAATCGGCTCGAACTGAAAACATTCTGGTTAGCGCCTCAAATATAATTGCCCTTTAAAATTAATTCGTGTTTGAAAATGATTGCCCCTCTTGGTTTTTTGCTGCTATGTTTAGTTTTAATTAAAGTTATTTTTTTCTTGTTTAATAAATTTCTGCTTCATTATCTGTATAAAGTATTAAAATTTCCATGCGCTCTGCTGTTTTACAATTTTAAGGTCAAAAAATTTCGATTTTGAATATATATCTCAAAATAGATCGTTATACATAAATTTGTTGTTAAACCTTGGTGATACACCAGTAGCTGAAAACGTTTTCCTTTGAACTGCAATGCAGGCTACCTTACCTATTCTCACCGGATTTATTAGAACTAACATCGTCAAATATTTGCCGTGGCTTTAGAAGAATCTTTTCGATAGTTCCCTTTGATTTCATCTCTTCCAATTTAATTGATATAATTCTACAAGCAAAAAAGAGAATAGCAAGTATACAAAGTGAAAATTAACTTTTAAAAATACCATGCTTAAGAATATCAAAACTTTGGAACATCACACTTTGGAAAATTACTTATGAATTTCAAA